GAATTAATATGTGTATCACAGTTTATTTACCCATAGAATTAATATGGTAGAATAATAGAACCATACTACTAGGAAGAAAAAGAATAATGACATGGAAAAAGGTTTATGAAAATTATTGGAATATCCTGTCTTTACTAAACAAAATTCTGTCCAGATATCTAAATAGACATTTTCTTTCTTTTCTTTTTTTTTAATGGTGCTGGGGATTGAACCCTGGGCCTTGTGCATGCAAGGCAAGCATCCTACAAACTGAGCTATATTCCCAGCCTCACATTTCTTTTTACATAAGTGACAATTTTTTGTATGCCTTGTAAAAGATCTGACAGAATATAAGCCAACCAGACTGAAAACAGTAGTAATTATACTGGGTAGTAGAATTATGGGTGATTTTTWAAAAACTTATATTTAAAAAAAGCATTTTTTACAATAGTTGTATATTGCATTTGGAATGAAAAAATATATAAAGTTTCTGCAAACTGATAGTGGTAAAGTTTTAAAATTTTATAGTACAATCAAAAGAAAGGATAATATTTAATAAATAGGTAATTTTATGCTACAAAACAGTAAATACAGAGTGTGATTTGGGGAAAAGGATGTCAATGTGGTTCAAAGCAAAGATGACTTTACAAGGCAGTTGCACCTCAGGTAGACCTTGAAGCATGAAGAGGTGTTAGGTTTAAGAGCTAAGTTTTCTAAACATCATGAGAAATAACATGGACAAAAAAATTAATAAAATATTTTAAAACATATGACTTGTTAAAATCTCTTCAGGTCACTTACATAGAACCAGTCTTATTGTGTTTATATATTTGTACAAAAGTATGTGTGTGGGTGTGTGTGTCTATATATTTATATATATATATATATATATATATATATATAAAAAACATTGCTTAACGTATGTTTTTAACAGGCTGATATCCAAGTGCAATTGATCAACAAAGGTCAACCAAACCCTCTGAAAAATATTCTAAATGAAAATGACTTAGTATTCATTGTGGAAAAAGTGGTAAGCAGTGCTTGGGCTTTATGGTTATATGATTCTTTTTTTTAATATTTATTTTTTAGTTGTAGTTGGACACTGTATGCTTATTTTATTTATTTTATATGGTGCTGAGGATTGAACCCAGGGCCTCATACGTGCTAGGTGAGTGCTCTACTGCTAAGCCTCAGCCCCAGTCCTGTATGATTCTTAATAAGTAGATTTGCTTCCTTGGGAATAATCACACACACACATTTTTCTATCAGCATTAGAGAGAGTGTATATAATTCTTTTAAGAATAAGCATAGTGCTGTCTAGTAGAAATAAACTGTCAACCATATATGTAGTTTTAAATGCTTTAGTAGTTTTATTAAGAAAAAGAAGTGAAATTATCATTGAGACAATAAAGTTGACTTTTTTCTTCTTTTGTTCAGTCCTATGAATTTTGACATACATAAYGATTCTTATAATCACTACTATAGTTGGAATATAAAACACTTCCATCTCACCAAAAATCTCCCTCATGCTAGTCCTTTGTAATCATATCCTCTCCTATCCCCTAACCATTGGCAGCCATTGGTTTCTTTTCTATTACTGTAGTTTTGTCTTTTCAAGAATGTCATGAATGGAATCACAATGTGAAAGCTTTTGAGTCTGACTTCTTTTACTTAGTATAATACTTTAAGGTTCATTCAGTTTGTATCAATAGTTCATTTACTCTTATTGCTGAATAGTATTCCATGATATGGAGTATCACAGTTTATTTACCCATTCACCCTTTGAAGGACATTTGGAAGTATAATGAATAGAGCTATTGTAAGCATTCTTATGTAGGTTTCCATGTGAGCACACTTAGGTTCAAATATTGGCTTTTAGGCAAGTTATTTAGCCTTTTGCTACCTCGATTTTTCCCAGAGATGATAATAACATCTAGCTCAGGATTTTTGTGAAGAATAAAAGATAACTTAGAACAGTATTTAGTACTCAGGAATTGTTAACTCTTAAAATTACTGTTGTTACTACCTAAGCTAAGCTATTTAACTATTTTGTAAATACATAGATACTGGAATCCTATAATACCAATGACAACTGCTGATAGCCCTAAGAGGAATAGGTACAAGGAGCAAGACTGTGGAGTTAAGATCATATCCCAGAAAGAAGATCTCCCAGTTTGGGAAATGAAAAATCCAACAAAATCTGGGAGGTTCTCTTGGTATTTTATCTTCAGCTTGATTTAACTTGATATTGATTTTATCACTTTGTGCATATTGGAGCACTTTTCTAATGGCATCAGATGTTTCCTTTACCAGGAACAACTAAATTGATATCTTTTTTATGGGATAGTGGAAATGCTTATAATGGTGTGATTTGTTGGTACCAAACTAGTCTGTGACTACAACCCCATCGTTTGTGCTTATGGGTATAGAAATGAGTATGTTAGGTTCTGTCTGTAGTTATTCCCTTACATAGTAAGGCGTTGACTATAAAGTGCTATTTTATCTGATTAAATAATTAAAACCATTTTGAAAGCCATTAGAAAAGGAAGAAACAAGTCATGTTGAAGAACTACAAACTGAAGAAACTGCTATTTCTGATTTCTCTACTGGTGAAAATGTTGGACCACTTGCTTTACCAGTTGGGAAAGCAAGGTAAGTTTTTTCCTCAGCATAGGGTCAGAGGTGGAAGGGGAGAGGATTTAATTTGAAGCGTTCTTGTAAATATTGGGAAAAAATAGGTATCTAGCACCCAGATCTCTCTCTTCCTTCCATTTTCCCCTAAGATATACAAGCCCAGCTCTCTAAAGATAGCTCCATTAGGATATCCCATCTGCATCATGAATATGTACGAAGACCACAGTTATCTTCCCTTTCTCCARTCTTTTTCCAATTTGTTGTTGCTTCTTGTTTTCCTTGTGTTTAAACTGGCACCTCTTCTACATTTTTGTTTTTTCCCTCACTACTGCCACAGTGATTTTTTTGTTTTTGGTGCTGAGAATCAGTCAAAACCAGGGTCTTAGGTAAGTGCTCTATTACTGAGCCCAGTCCCATACTGATCTTTATAAAATGAAAACCTGATCATATTGCTTAAAAATCCTTCAGTTGTTCTTCCTTCCCTTCATGAAAAAATCCAGATTCCACATGAGTAACATATAGGAGCTTCATTTACTTGTCCTAGAGATCCTCCACATGGAATGGTACCATACCCCATGGGCATTGGAAGTATTCAGGGGTATTTTTAGTCATAACCATCAAGGGAAACGACTGGCATTTACTGGGATTGGGCTATGGATGGTAAATGTCCTGCAATGTGTGGAGTTTTCCTGCACAACTGGGAATTACTCTACCCAAGATGGCACTGTGCCCCTTTTGGAAACCCTAATGCCTCTATCTGCCTCTCCAGCTTCACTTTCTGTCTTCCTGCTGTGTAGCCATATGTAGTTCCCTTTGCCCAACCTTTCCGTACTTATAAAACAACAACAAAAAAAATTCCTTGCCTTCAAGGAGTTCTGGAGGATAGAGTCATAAAAATAATATCATTAGAGAGTGATAATTACCATAACACTCTTTGCAAAGTGACTTTCCTTCATGCAGGTTTGTTAATGTAGCTAAATTATTCAGTCTTTTCTTTCACRGCTTCTTGAGTTTAAGCCCTAATGTAGGCTGTTTTTCTCCCAGACAACTTGAACATTGTTGATACTGTTTTCATCAGGCAGTGTTTTTTGGATTGATTCATATGCTATCATTTCTTTGCTTTCTGTTTCTTCTTGCATTTTAAACCATCCTTCTGGAATTATTTTACTTCCTTTTTGAAATAAAATTGTTCAGAAATTTATTTCCTGGACATCTGTTCATAATAAATTCAGGTTTTATCTCTTTGAAAAAAAAAAAAAAATTTAAGCACATTTTGTGAGTAACCTTTAGTTTTGATATATTTACAAAGTTTTAGAAAGTTATAAGATAGTGCAGGAACTTCTGTGTACCCTTAACCCAGATTCACTAATTATTTTATTTTGCTAAATCTGCTGTGTCAATCTCTCTCCCTCTCCATGTAGATCTATACATAAAGCAATGTACATACAGTACATATGTGTATACAGTATAACTATATTGTTAATTGTATATTGTTATTTTTATATACAACG